TAGTTGTAAGACCGTCAAATCATACTTCAAGTGCTTAAATTGTTCAACAAAATCTTAACCACCAAGATAAAATAATTAAGCCACATTATCCATTAAATTGAGACCTAGTAGTTGTAAGACCATTAAATTGCTCAAATTGTTTCGACTCTAGCCTAGCATTCGCCATTTAACCTAATTTGTTCCAATTTTCGATCCTAACCTATCAGTTTGTTCACATTAAGCCACATTATCCAAATCTCTGAACCATCATACCAGAACCAACTGTCAGAAACTCACAAAACCCAAGAAGAAATTACACCAATTAAGCTAAAACACACAGAAATTAAAGCTAAATTATGATCAAAACCACCGACCCAGTAAACCAAATTTCACAACTAAGCAGTAAAAAACTATAATTTCCGCTGAAATTTAGAGCATGAACACAAACAGATGAAGTATCATCGATTACCTCAGCGAAGCAGGCGGCGAATGCACTGCAGAGGAAAGTTTGCAAGAAGGAGATCTCAGACCTGGGGCTGAGATCTGCCATTGGAAGGCGCAAAACGAAAGCTTCAAAAGCAAGGAATTTGGGGAAATGGGGAGGGAAATTCAGAGCGAATGGGGGGATTAAGGTTATATAAAGAAGGTGGTTAATGATTACTTTCGAAGGAAAGGGACATGGAAAAATATCAAGAAGAAGGAAGCTTTTGCAATTGCAATTGCCTTTTTCACAACTTTGCCATTTTCTTGTCGGTTGTCGACATCGACGTCGACGTCGACGTCGCGTCGTTTTTAATTGTTTTAGTTTAGGGGGGTAAGGTTAAGTGGACTTTTATTAGTTAAATTGGGTTTTGTTGCTTAATTTGATTTGTTGTGATTTTGAAAGTTAGAGCCTCTCAGCTCGCGGTAACATGCTAACCGTTTGGTTTTTTGTCTGTTGTTGAGCTATTTTTGGAAAACTCACAACGCTTATTATTCAATAACAAATCACGTTATCTATAATTCAACTAGTGTGGGTGAAAACTTTACTAACTATCTCAATGCGTGTTTAATTAGATCTAAACAACATGTGACAATGATTTTCTTGACGACATGACTTATTCTCGCGCTGCTAAGCTCGATGACGAACACTTGTGATTTGAGAAGTGAAAGGAAATATGGCTTCTATTTTTAGCATTATTTGGTTAACTTACATTTTACAAGATTTTCACTCTTAGCATTTTATTTAAAAAGGAGTATTTGTTGATTTTTCGACATTTAGTCAGATGATAAAATGCAATTAAAAGAGAAAATAATTCACTATGATATGTTATTTTCTGTCTAAAAGGGATTGATTCAAGTTCATCAACCGAAAAAAATGTGGTGGGAGAAGGGTTCGGTGTCAATACTAAATGCAACAAGTTTGACACCAAATATTCCCAAAAAGAGGTTTCAATTGAATCATAGATTTTAACTCTAAAAATAGAAGAAAATTAATTGGTATGCAAAAGAAAATTAATTGTTACAAACTATAACGAGAAAATATTGTGATGTATCGTAAGATAAAAGAGGTGAAAAATGAGATATAGCATAATCCATTCATCATATAAAATTCCAGCTTATGTTTGACTTCTTTATACCTTGTGCTACCATGACATTACTTCAAACAAGAGTTGTGAACAAACTTTGGTTAAAAATTCACTATAAAAATACTAAAGACATATTACGAAGCTACTTTAACTTTCACGGTCTAATTTGTTCCAATGCCATCGGCTTTAACAGTGATGTAAGTATATAACTGAGTGACAAACCCAATCGTAGAAATTTATGTTGTTTTTCGTTAACTTAGACGAGAGACATGCCAATCAAGCGGTTAAGAGTATTTAATTTAATCCACCTTGAGGTCTTGCATTCAATGGCGTAACCACACCAAGGGCTACGGTGGGCTGTAGCCCAGGGAGGATTTGTGTCAATATGTATATATACTTTGGTGTATGGTCTATATAATGGACAAAAAATGTGCAAGAAGAATTATTTTCAATGAAACTAGTCCAATGAGTATTTAGCACAACTAAAAATATAAAAAGTACCATGAAAATTGTGATGTAATTTTGTTCAAGATTATTCTGCTTTAATTTATATTAGTTTCAACCAATTTTTTTTAAGATTGCCTTTACTTCTACTTTTAGTGTTTTGTTTTGTGCTAGTTGTGCGGTTATAATTGAGATATCAAGTTTTCTATCTCTTCCTGTGTTTAAATCTAAATATATGTGAAATTTGATTATTCATTGTAATTTTTGTAGTTTATAATTGCGAAACGTATTAAGTTCATACCAAACAAATTTTAAGCATACAAATATAGAAGTTAAACTTAAATTTTTACATACAATACTTATGTAACAAAAGAAGAACATTTGATTTTAAGGTAATTTTTTTAGCTAACCCACCCATAAAATATTTTCTGGCTCCGCCCTTGCCCGCATTTGATTCTTCCTTCCTCAGTTATTGATTGTACATCATAAAATAAAATAAAAATTAAAAAACCAAAACAAAAAAGCCATAAAAAAGGGGCTTTGGTGGTGTTAGTTTATTCTTTATGGGCCACCCGGTCCTGGGCCATTAATTTAGTTCACTTTCTGGATCAGAAATAAGTCCAAACAACTGAAGGTGCAGGAATAATTACACTGTACCCTTACTGCAGCCAATCCCTCCCCGTCAAAGTCCTGCGCGGGAACACGAACCCACCAAATCCCGCCAATCAAACCCCAAAATTCCCAAATACGCTTCCCATTTCCCCCACTATATAAACCCTAACCCCCCACTCCCTCGCTCAAACTCTCCAAATCTCCCCCTCGAATTCTCCAAATCGAACAACCCGTACGCCTCCGACGACCCGGAAACGATGTTGGAGCTCCGACTGGTCCAGGGCTCGCTGCTGAAGAAGGTGCTGGAGTCCATCAAGGACCTGGTGAACGACGCCAACTTCGACTGCTCCTCCTCCGGCTTCTCCCTCCAGGCCATGGACTCCAGCCACGTGGCGCTCGTTGCCCTCCTCCTCAGATCTGAGGGCTTCGAGCACTACCGCTGCGACCGCAACATGTCCATGGGCATGAACCTCGGCAACATGTCCAAGATGCTCAGGTGCGCCGGAAATGATGACATCATCACCATCAAGGCTGACGACGGCAGCGACACCGTCACCTTCATGTTCGAAAGCCCCAGTATGTTCTTTCTTTCCCCCTTTTTTTTGGTATTAAGTCTTTTTTTCCCCAAATAATTTGATTCATTTGGGATTTAATTTGGGGGTTTTTTTTTTCGCTATTAACTTTGATTACTGGCTATTAATTTTCTTTATTTATTATTTTGTTTGTAAATTGCTTCTCTTGTATGCAAAAAATTGTAGGAAAGCGAAAGGATACAATTTTTATTTTATTTCTTTTTATGAATCTTGAAATTGATACTGGATTTGATAGTCATTTTTACTCTTATTTGATTATGACCTGCAAATGTTTGGGTAGAAATTAAGTAAAAATGGGGGTTTTATCTGATAATTCAGTGTTGTCCGGTGTTGATTACTTTGTACCTCATTGAGGTTCTACCGTAGAGTTTCATTTGTATGGTCCTGCAGTGGCCCTTATTCTTCGTGTATGGAAACATAGAAATACTGATATGAGGAGAAATTGAATTGTAAGTAACGAAAATTGTACTGGCAGCGAAAGGAATCATAGCGAGACATTGTATCTAATAGTTGTAATTGTTAATTGGAAGTTTTGCACACAAGGTTTTGGTTATGTGATAGTTTATTACCATGCTTCAATATTAGTTTTGTTGTCGATGTATTTGTTCGTTGTTTTGATTTTTGGTGTTTTCTTTGGGTGACGGATCACAGCACAAGATAAAATTTCTGATTTTGAGATGAAGCTGATGGATATTGATAGCGAGCACCTTGGAATTCCGGAGGCAGAATACCAGTCTATTGTGACAATGCCCTCTTCTGAGTTTGCTAGAATATGTAAAGACCTCAGTGGCATTGGTGATACTGGTACTTTTTACTCTTTATCCCTTTACAAGATTCTGCTTTATCCAAATTTCGTGTATTTGTCTTGTGGATATGTGAGTAACGGTTCGATGTTGCTTGCAGTTGTGATATCTGTGACCAAGGAAGGAGTGAAGTTCTCTACAAGAGGGGATATTGGCACTGCTAACATTGTCTGCAGGCAGAACACTACTGTTGACAAGGTATGCTGTTCTTGTGAAAACATTGTCTGTTAGGTTTTTGCTACTGCAATCCGATGCCTAACTTTGTTTTGCTGATTTTTTGGAATTGCAGCCTGAAGAAGCAACTGTCATAAATATGAGCGAGCCAGTGTCGTTGACATTTGCTCTGAGGTACATGAACTCGTTCACAAAGGCTACCACATTGTCGAACACGGTCACAATCAGCTTGTCTTCTGAACTCCCAGTTGTGGTTGAGTACAAGATTGCAGAGATGGGCTACATTAGGTTCTACTTGGCTCCCAAGATAGAAGATGACGAAGACGAAACCAAGCCTGAAGTTTGAGTGTTATGCCAAATCATCATCGGCACACTCTTGCTGACTTGAACTGCTCTGTTTAAAAATCCATGTAGAGGATTCTTAATACGAGTTTTTTCTCGCTTTCTCTGGGACAATGAGTTAGCAAATCTGTAGTTTAGGAGTTTTCGAATCCGTCAGGTAAAGATGTTGTAGGTTTTCTATTGAAAACAATGTTATTTCTCCCATTTCTTTTCTCTTTATGATTTCTGGGTTATTATGTATAGCGAAATCATCACGTATCGACGAAATCAAACAATAATACACAAAATTTGAACTCCCTAAATCGAACAGAAAAATTTTGAGCTAGCACATCAGGGCGCAAGGTTGCAAGGAAAATGAAACACGTTGCTTGAGCTGTCCTCTCTGATTTGGGCAGACAAAAGCCCCTTGTTCCTCTCTTTTGCACAAAAAAATTGTAGTGCAGCTCAGGAAATCTGCTCCATATATATAACCATAAAAATACTTAATCTACCTCCCTCGTTTCTTGGCTTCGCCGTAGAGGATGACCCCTGTTACTGTGAGACCGTAACCGAGCATTCCGGTCACTGAAACCGGATTTCTGAATATCAAAATTGAAACCACCACTGCAACCGCTCCTTTTGCATTTCCCAACACCTGAAAGACACAGGATACCATATCTCAGCAATTACCATCCATGAGATATGTATTTTTTAACATAGCGGAAATTGAGCGTCACTACACCAGATGATCATATTGATTTATTGGCAAACGAGTTTGCATTTGTCCCACATTAAACCTTGTTTGGATAATTCACATGGAGAAAGGGTTTGGAAGGAACATAACAATATACTAGATTATAGGGCGACCCAAGCCAACAAGGCTTTGCGCCTTGCGAGGGTTAGAGAAGAGAATGTCTATATCATACGCAGCATTACCTTTACTTTGCAAAGAGATTGTTTCTGCGAGTCGAACCCATAATTGTAACACTATTACTGTATAACATAGTTCGAGTGTGTCGACATCATCTCGATATGTTGAAAAAATATTCAATTACCTGGAGAGTCAAGGCACTAGTGTGTTTGGTTACCACGAAGTTGGTCAAATTGACAAAATATGCAAGAGCGGAGTTGAACACCAGGTACCAGACGATTGACACGTCATCTCTTGCAAGTGCAATTGTTATTCCAACTACGTTCTCTTCCATCAAAAGAGCTGCAGGGAGAAGGATTGCCACGGCTACAGGAGCCATGTACATGAGCAGGTTCATGGAATTCAGCTTTTCCCTGGGAAATTGAACTGGAATTACAATCTCATTTAATTAACTCATAATTTTGTTTAATTAGTTGGTAATTAAATGTTAAATATTAGTGGAGAGGGTTACCCTTCAGAGGAGAGGAGTATCCCTTGAAGCACTGACTTGAGTGCCCTTGCTGCTGTAGCACCAATACACATTATAAATCCAAACAGGTGAAAACTTGGTTCTCCCTTCATTCAATTCAAAAAAAAAAAAAAAAGAAGAATATGAATAACTTCTCTCATATTTCCTCCAAAGAAAATAACATGAAAAGTTATATTGATCAAATCCTTCCCTTTAATGTTTTTGACATTGATTAAGAGCATACAATGAGAAACCCTTAAAAATTTTAGCTAGAACAAAGTTCTTTCCTCTCGCACGAATTTTCAGAAGTTTATGGTGTAGCAAAAATGCCACAAAACTGTACTTTATGATTGTGGTAAGAAAAAAATTGTGTACGATGATATGAACACTTGAAAATAGCCAAGATCAAATTAAGGTTTGGTAAATTATGTTTTACATTTCAAATCAGGCAAACAAAATATTTAGAAAAGTGAAACCAATGCCCAATTCCAAAAACAAAAAATCAAAATTAATTATTAAAGAAAATTAAAAGGTCAGAGGATAATGGCCAAAATTAAGTTCAGGGAAGAAATTGTCAATTATAAAAGTTTTAGGGGGAGAAATTAGCAGCTTCTTACAAGTTCGATGGAAAAATCGACAAATGCCTAGCTTGATATTACGGTCTTACCCCGCTGGCAATGATAACGCCGGTGACAACCGGAATAAGAGTAACGTACGTGACCCAGCCCTCCTTTTTGAGAGTCATAATATACGCAAACACAGCCGTGAAGAACGGCGTGGTGGCGCCGATGGCCTGGTTAAACGACACGGCGAGGTACCGGAGCGAGATGTTCCCGCCAACGACAGACAAACAGAAGATGAGACCGAGGGACGATATCTTGAAGAACTGGACGCGTGACTTGATGCTCTGCATGGGAACGACCTTCATCCACGAAATGGCTACGTAGCTGAGGAGGGAGCACGCGAGCATGTGGCAAAGGGTCAAGAAAATCGGGTACTTGAACCCGTAATTGCTCAGGAGAAACTTGTTCAACAGCAAAACTCCGATGTTCGACGAGTACCATGCTGTTATTAATCCGACCGTGACGAACTTCGACATGTTTTCGGGGTTTCAGATTTATCAATTCTTGTGGAGGGCAAGGTGGAGGAAGGAAATGGTGGAGTGCATGGATTTGTTGAGGTTGTTTTTGAATTGTTGAAGGATGTCGGAGAGAAAGATTTGAATGGAAATGGGGGATGGTGGGTTGGAGGGATGGAGGAGATCAGGTATTGGATCTGGGGAAGGAGATGGAAAGAAATCTGGAACGTAGATTTCGAGCTTTAAATTCGGAGGTTTATTTTGTTTCTTAATTTACGTTGTTCCAATGTTTTAATTTTTGTTTTGGATTATAATTTTATATAAATGAGTGGGTGTTATCTTTGAAATAATTGTAGGTAGGGTGACAATTTTTTATACGATTTGTTAACTTGACTCGAAACGATACGAAAATAACAAGTTTCGGATTAACTTGTTTATGAGTCAAATCGTTATCAAGTCACCCATTAACGAGTCAAGATGTTCTCAAGTCACTCCGTTGAGAACCCGATAAGATATCGTTTGCCAGATCTAGACATTAGGCATAACAATTTCTTGCAGGATACGTTAACTCAACACGAAACGACACGACTCATTAACGAATTGGGTAACACTTTGAAACAACACGGTCTATCAAGATAACGAGTATAATACAAAAACAAGACGAACACGAGAAACACAACTGTTTGCCAAATCTAATCGTAGAATGAGAAATGTTAGGACTGATAATGCAAATTGCAGATTAATCAACGGTAAGTTAATCCTCGTATTTCATGTTAAAAATGTTCAGTCAAATTAATTTTTGGTAACAGGCAAATTGCAAATCAATTAATGTTGTGCATTTTCTGTTGTTTAATTTCACCTGACGCTACGAGGCTAATTTTGTCAATGCATCTCTTAATTTTGATTTATTTCACCTTTTAGCCACATGAGATCAAGGGATCATTGAAGAGTTAAAAGCACTTTTTAACAAAAATGCTTTTTCCAAAAGCATTCATTTACAAGTCTCAAGTCGATTGGCTGGCTTTTGATTAATTTCGAGCTAGGGTTCTACTCGTATTTTTCTCCATAATGTCTAATACCATTACCCAAACAACATTATTAAGAGTTCAGTAAACAAAGCAAGCTTCCATTACAACAAATTGCCAACAAAAGTTCAGATTCAGAGGATTATACGTCGAGCCTATCGCACTTTCGTCAATCACTCAAGTCAGTCATAACTTCGTAACTCCTCGTAGTAGTCTTATATCAACTGCATACAAATGCATTTTGATGAAGCAAGTACAAAGACATGCGTCGGAGCCAGTTCTTTTTATCTACCAAAACCTTGGTGCACGCTAGAAGTTCCGAAAATTTACTCAAAAATGTTTTTTCTTCCTGCAGTGTGCATCTGAAAATTTCATTAGGCGAACCGTCCATGTCTAGAACACCTTAGCAAACTTAATTACACATTTCATACTGCTCTCCACTCTATCCAGGGAAAACAAAGAGGAAAACACTCTGATAACAAAAACAACGAAGCAGAAGCAGGATCGGGGAGGGCCGGACTTTAGAGTAAGAATATAAGGAGAAGAGAATTGTGAGAAGGAAACCTGGGAGACATGATCAGGATGATTGCCTCCAATCCTCACCAGCATAAAATGCATCGTCCCCAAGTTCTTCCTCAATTCGAAGTAACTGCAAGAAAATTTGGCGCATCAGTTTCAAATCACGTATTCCTTTGTACCCGAACATATGGCTGCATAATACAAATTAAGAAACTAAGAGCATGGAAGACCATAAAAAGAAAGGGAACTTTAACTAAGAGCATGGAAGACCATACAAAGAAAACTTGATTTGTTTATTACAAGATTTCTCATAAAAAGAGTAGAAAAAGGATGAATATGGCCAGGAAAGACGTGTTTTGACTTTTGAGTTATATATAACAAACAAAAACAACAACAAAGTCTTATTCCACTAAGTGGGGTCGGCTATATGGATCCAAGAACGCCACTGCGCTCGGTAATAATATTTCTGTTGCATTGACACTTGTCCTTGGACGATTCCAGATGCAATTACTTGTTTCTATAGCATAAGCTATACAAAAGGGAACTCCGCATGGGGATGGAATATCAAGTATGGTACTGCAAAGTTCTTCTCAAAAAAAAAAGTATGGTACTGCAAAGTAGTAGTACTATCCGTGCAGAATTGCACCATAATATCCGATACCAATAACTTGTTAAGTAGCAGGTAACACAAGAATGGTGGACACAGTAACTGAGTATAAAAGTTTACCTGGTTATACTTGGCCAGCCGTTCGCCTCTGCAAGGAGCACCAGCTTTGATCTGACCCGTTGAGAGACCAACAGCTAAGTCAGCTATGAAGGAATCTTCCGTTTCACCACATCTATGAGACATGACCACTCCCCAGTGGGCATCCTTTGCCAGCTTCATCACTTCAATGGCCTCGGTCACTGTTCCAATCTGGTTTATCTGATGAATTGTAAAATTATCAGTTGCCTCGATCTTATCTCTCGTCCAAAAAAAAAAAAAAACCATAACAGTAATATAGTGTTAAAAATATCTCAAAAACGTAGAATAAAAACAGAATAAACATCTAAATCGAAAACATCACATATCATCCAAATATAGCTATATACCTTTACAAGTAGAGCATTGCAGGTGGACTCCTCTATAGCTCTCTTAATACGCTTTGGATTTGATGTTATCAAGTCTCCGACTACCTGAAAAACCGAAAAACCATCCAGTCTTCAAGTTAAGACATCTAACCATATCTCAGGCCTTCCAAAGGAGAAAATCCTAGAGGCATCTAACAAAAAACTAACTAATTTATATAGGCAAGATTCTACATTGCTCAGCGACCTTGATAGCAAGGCAACCGAATTGTTTTTACAAGTTACCGACAGATGAGGTCGAATATTCATGATAATATCTGATAGAATTTGCAGTGTACTACGGCCTTAAACATTCACAAGGATGTTAAACAAAAGCAGTTGCAGGCTCATGTCCATCTAGTTACTACATAGTTTTCCATATGGAGGGACAACAAAAATTATCAATCTGTTCTCTTGTCAAAGCTTCTTCGGCAAAGAATAAAAGCACCAGGATACTAAATAAATATATCTCACCAACAAAAGAAAAGTAAACAAACCTGACAAATTCCAAGGCTAGAAAAGCGTTTAGTGTGTTCCCAGTCCTCTTTATCAAATGGATCTTCAATTGACACAATTTGGTACTCTGACACCCCAAACACAAGGAAGGAAGGCAGAAAAGGTACGTCACAGTGCAAAATTGCAAATCAAATACAAACACATTGACAAACAAAAAAGGAGAGACTGATTTACCACTACAAAGTTCTTTATACATCTCGATCATATCATCAGCCGACTTGAAATTTTGTCCCTTATCCGCTGATTTGTAATCCAGGTCATACTTTGTACCTGTATCAAGGGGGAAATAGAAAGGAAAATATTGCATTTAAAGTATACATGAATTCATGTTTTTTCTAAAAAGAAGATAAATTTTAATCATTACTACAAGATAATTTAGCCTTGGATTTCCATCCAGAAATCGTAAAATGCAATTATTTTCCCAAACTGCTATGTTACAGAAAAGATCAATTCTCAAGAAAGATCCATCACCTATGCAAAAGTCAGTAGCAGCAAAATCAATTGCTAGTTTGATTTGCTCATTATACCTGTTCTACTGATCGCCTCTTTTACAAGATCCAAGACTTCTCTAACGCTGCCAAGAGATACAGAAAATAATTATAAAAAAAATTGGCATATCATCTAATTAGTTCAGAAATTTCTCACAAGGCACAAAGTAGCAACCATAGTAAACAGTTCAGAAAAACCTAAAACAATGTGTGTATGCATTTTAGGAGCATCTAAAATGATTGTTCTCTTCCAAAGACTTCTCTCTCCTTGGGGAAGGCTGTTTCAGGCGGATTCATGAGGCAAAGAAATTAAGGAACACTACAGATCACACAATAAATACTTGCCTCGAGATGTTGGGAGCAAAACCACCATCTTCACCAACATTACATCCATGTGAGCCATATTTTTCTGTAATAACAGCCTGCTCTTTTTGTGAACAATAATAGCTATCAATAAAAATGAGAGATGAAACTATCAAAACAAAATGGGACATAATGGCATAGCCTTGTTGATTGTTCACATGTACATAGAAAAGTCATTCTCCAATTTCTTACGCACATGGGATGCTGAGCTATTGACTTTATTATTTGAGCCAAATAAATTACATGCATAATCATAGATTGGCCACTTAAGAGCAGCTATGAAGAGCCATGAAATTTACTTCAAGGATTAGCATAATGGCATGAGAAAACTGAAATCAGTGCATACTCTGATATTTAAGATTTGGAAAGGCACAAGTCACTTAATATTTACATGAATTCTTCCTTTTCAGAGCTAATTTTCATTGTCATTAATAGAGCTGAATATTTGTTGGAAAGTTCAGCACTAAATAAAGCTTTAATTGAAACATTTTTTTGTAAAGTCATGAAACTTTTCATCCTAAGATGTGATCTTGATAGGTTGTAAACGTGGTCAAAGACTTTGGTGACAAAAGAACACTGAAATTTAGGTCAAATGAATACTTATTAAAATGCAAGTGAAAAAAGTTGCATTCAGGTCCACATAAAATAAGGTGATTGCTTGTATGAAATGGGCAACTCATCAGGTCTCGTAAGATGGAAAAATATTTTTTTCACATCAGTAAAGGAAAAATATTTTTTTCACACAGAATGTAATCTCCAAAGTCAACAGTTGAGATGAAAAGTACCTTCAGGTGATGATAGGTTTCAGATCCCATTTGCAATGCCTCCTCAAACTTGCTAGCTCCAATTGGGAGAATCATAATTTCCTAAAAATTTCAAGTCAAGTTTAATTAGAAGGACATGCCACACAAAAGTTTGAAGAGTTCATGCCAAAAAAATTGTATTGAAATCTATATAAGCAACTTCAGCAGGCATAAAAACAATGTTATAGGAGGAACCAAAGAGAGCATTAAGCAGTCGTTACTGACACAATCAAATTCATGTAGAAGTGTTTGACCAGTGAACTCCACTGTAGTTTCCCACAAGCCAATTTCAAATATTTAAAATTTTAACTTCATTTTAAGGTAAAATGTCATACTTTCATGATGTCAATACAAGTACCCACATTAGTAAATGGTCTAAATATTGAAACCCCTCTCCCCACATACATTAAAACTGAAAATAAAAGATTTGGCAAGTACATATCTACAGACTCAAGCTTACCAGAGCATACCTGAATGGCCAGATTATTCCCAGCATGCTTTCCTCCACTAATAACAGTAAAAGCAGGGACAGGCAGGGTCAGGTGGCCTTTTCCAGAAAGGTCAGCAATATGTTTGTACAGTGGAACCTGATATTAATCTTGACTCAGACATTTTCGAGAAAAAAGTGAACAAATTTTAGCAATACCAATACTTAGTAAGCGGTAACAGAGAAACAGTCATGCCTCCTTTTGAGCAGCTCCAGCTTTGCAAGCAGCGATTGACACAGCCAATATGGCATTTACTCCAAGTTCACTCTGAAAGTATATTTGAAAATAATCATTAATCCAGAATCATAAAAAAAAGTAAAATACAAATGCTTAATAGAGTTATCCTTCACATTTATAGTTACGCAAACGATATAAATTATGACTAATGTCTATTATTTATAATTTTTTATAGCCAGACAAGGAGAGTCATAGCATGAAAGCACCAATATATATTAGTAACAAATTCTCAAACAGATCATTTGCATCAAGCTGCAATGAAAAACGAAAAACGTTACCTTCTTTTCTGTTTTATCGAGGTCTATCATTGCCTGATCAATCTGCGACTGAAGCGTAGGATCCATGCCTACCAATGCTTCAGATATTTTCTCATTGACATTCTTAACAGCTTTAGTCACACTATTTCCAAGATATAATCCCTTGTCCCCATCTCGCAGTTCAACAGCCTCATACCTGGTTTCAACAAACACCTCCTTGATAATTAATCTCAGGATTTATAATTTTGAACGTGATCGAGCTCAAATAGAATTGTATACAAGAGGCATAATACACAGTTACTTAATAGTTAATAGCAATGCTCTTGACAAATGCAATAACAAATCAATTTCTGAATCATACAAAGCATTTCCACACGCAAAGAAGAAAAATGCAATTCAATATGAAACAAAAGGTCTATACAAATTCTCGGCAGCCAAACAACAGAGAGAGAGAGAGCTTACATTCCGGAAACATCAGAGCTAGGAGCTGAAGCACGAAACGTTCCTTTGTTAGTGTGGAGGTCGACTTCAACAGTTGGAATTCCTCTGCTATCGAGGATCTGCCGAGCTTTGACCTTTGTTATCACTGAAGGTACCGCTTTCTTCATATGATTCGACTGCGTAATTCAATTCAAAAACAAAGACATACAACAAAATCATTTCACAGCTCAAACAAACCTAATCAAGAAACTACAATTTCCTTCTCTTTCCAGAAACTTTCCTGCACATTCATTTTCCGAGTAACCAAACAGAATCACAGACGAGAGAGAGAGAGAGCAGAGATTTACGATGAAGAGGACGGGATCGGAGGCCTTAGCCCTAACGGCGGCATTGACGGCGTCTTCGATTTTCCGAGAGAGCATGTGGTTATCCAAGTAATCTTGCACCGACATTTCTTCTTATTGATTTCGGTCGCTCACCAAAACACCGGCGGTTTCAGATTCGAGCTCGGCGGAGAGAGGCGGAGAGAGGCGGAGCGATCCCTAATTGATTCAGAGCTTCACGCGCAGTGAGAACAACGACTGAGAGATGCTCGTGACTGGTGCCGAATATTCTTTTTAAATTTTTGAGTGCGTTGTGTTCCGGTTTAGGGTTTAGGTCCGAAGGCCGAGGCTTCTCCAAGCTTTCAGGTCCCCGGCTCTTGGATGTCAGCCGCAGAGAGTGTAGCAAAACGCAGCGTTTCCGTGTGTTAATTTCAAGTGGCTTCTGGTTCTCTCATGCTTTATTACAACAATTTTAATTGGGTTTGATTTGATGCTCCATTTTAATAATTATTGTGGTAATGATTTTAGTTATGGTCCCTTTTTTTAATTCCTTGATGCAGTTTGGTTTGGTTTTATCTTGTTGGTTATTTTTGTTTAATTTATTTGGTTATGCGAAAAAAATATAATAAGAATTGTATGAGAAGAAAAATGTTGTGATTTATCATATGCTTTTATTTTATCATTTACTTTTTATTTGTATGAATTTATCCTTATATTTTTGACATCATTTATTCAATTAGTGGGTAAAAAATAAAGGTTAATGATATTCACATACTCATTTTTACCTTTTATACATTCTTGCTAATTTTTTACCATTGATCTGCAATTTATTTGATTGGACGGCCGAAAATTAAAAGAGGTATGTGAGAGGCAAAAATGAATGTGTAGATAAACTTCTGGCTCCTCCTTGAAAGCTTTGCGGTTAATAATAAGTAATCCAATCTTCCTCACGCTCTTTAATTCATCTTGACAGAGGGACTTGAGTGACTTGTTTGGTACGAGCAAACGAGGGACGAGGGGTGGGAGCCGACAAATAGTAGTGTTGGTTCAGTGAAGTCAAGCATTACCCAAAACAAAATTGAGGTGAATGAGCAACTGGTTTGGTACAAGCCACACTATTCCTCCTTTTCTTTAGGACATAAACATACCAAACCACCATAAAATATTTCCAAAAAAAACCTAGAATTTTTTTCCAACCGCAGCAAGAAAGAAAAAAAAATTCTTGAGTTCGTCGCAAATGACTATTTGTAACAGAAAGCGTCAAGCCCTCTTTTGACGAAGAAGCATAGCCGTTGTGAGAATCCTCTGTTGTTGCAGTCCTTTCCTTGCTGCCAGAAAGCTCATTAGTGGAGGTGTAAAACAACCATAGTAAAGAGAAAAATAAAGACTAAACTTGATATAGATCCAATTTTGTGAGTCGTTATTGAGTTTTAGTCCATTTTATTTGGTTAAGTTCATTCACTGATTGTCCACATCATCATTTTTTATTATATTTTTACTAAACTGTAATGAATACCATCCTTTATAGGTTTATACTAGCAATAGTGCCCGCGCGTTGCTGCGGGTTTTAAAACTGTATAAAGCATGCAGAAAGTTCTAAAGACACACGATATGCAATACTATTTACATACATATAGAAACCTATTTACAATGATATGGACTGGCAGTTCTATTGCCATTGTTCTAATATTCACATCTTTTACAAATTGAACTCTTAACTGTCATTAATCGTAGGAATTTTTTTGTATATAGTATTATTTACATACAAAAGATAATATTTGATGTGTATTTACATACTATTTACACACAAAAGATTGGGTAGATGGTCCCTACTGATATCCTCATGAAATATACAGATAATCAGCTTATTTTACCCAATAACCAAACTGTGTGGTTGCAGCTGACTTTAAGTTGTTAATGGAACAAAGTACCTGAAGTCGAAGATAAACCTGGGGAATGTAGAAATCTTCAAGCCTTAAACAAATTGGCCTTGCTTTTTGCAACAAAACAATCCTTTTATTATAGAAAATTACAGGAAAAACTTTTAAAAGTGGAAATAAAATTATGTCAAATGATTAGGGAACCAGAAGTTTATTGGACCATACATAGAAATAAAATTTAAATAAAAAAAAAGCAATCTCAAATACAAACAACATGACACGACATATAATCTTATTTAATCACACCATTTTAATTTATCAAACCGATTATTTAATATTGTCATGCATGACAATATTTTACCATAATGAACTCCGACAATACCCTCTCATCCTAGTCGCATTTTTTGTTAAAATTTTGACCATAAGTTTAATATCTTTTCACTGTTTTTCAAATCTTGACGAAACTCTGAAGACAAAAACAACAGCACTCAACTCCTTTTTCAACTTGTAACTAGTTTACACAAATAAGAATGCAGCATTTTTATTAAAGCATGTAATTCTCCTCTTCCTATATTCTTCCCCTTTCTCTAACCAAATAAAAATTTCCAAAACTATATACGAATTTTTTTTATAAAAAATGATACATAATTAAAGCAAACAAAGAAAAAAAAACGAAAACTGTTTTGTGAGATTGTATTACTTTGTTAGCAACCAGCATCAAAATGTTTTATCTTCTCACCAATTAATAAGTCAGTAAACAAATGACTAAACTTTCTTAATCACAAAAGGCTAAAAGCAAAAAACAAAAATCACTCACCTTAATGATAAAGCACTTTGAACAGTTGCATCATCTCATTGTTTAGAAACTTTTGTGATTACAAATCTGGAAAACAAACACTTCCAAAATTTCAAACAAAAACATAAATGCTTTAATCACACATGCACACTCACACACACACACGCCTATTCTGAATTCATAAAAGAGAACAAAAATGATAGGATTGATGCCAATATAGGGATACGCTGCATATCATGCTTCAGGATAGCCATAATTTGCATTATAACCTACAACTTTAGAGGAAATTAAAAGGCAAAATCAAGCCAAACCAACAATTCCCTCATTAACTTGAAGAATGATTATCCATTTTTAAATAAGTGTGCAATCCAATCAAACCCAACAACCATCCAAAGCAAATTACACAATTAACAGATGTCCAAGCATTGAAAGAATCACCAAAAAGACATGCACTTTGAAAAAGAACAAAACTTACAGGGCCTTTATGTCTTGTGAGATGTCCAAGAAGCACTTAATAGTAAAATATTAGTATCACCGTTGATAACTCTCTTCTATTATATGTTCTGAGCTTTCCATTTATTACCCATTTCTTGGGTAAATTTACCCAATTATATTCGAAATCATGAGACATAATAGTAAAACACAAAAACAAAATCAGAAGAAATCAGAAGATGCAGAACTATTAAAAATTCCAACATTTATTAACAACTATTTAGTAAGGATAAAAAAATCATGCCATCAAATAAATTTGCAAAAAAAAAAACAAAACAAAACAAAATTTAAGTTGAATAGAGAGGTGATACTTGCTTACCCAAAAATCCAAACCAAATCCCCAAAAATTTAAGTTGAATAGATGATAGCAACGAACTCCGATCTCCATCTTCTTCTAAATCCAAAAGAACCAAAACCCATACAGAAAATCTCAAGGATGTGCAAGAATTCCTGAGAAAAATTCAAAAAAATTGGACATAGATGGTGCTTTTTGCTGAAAAATTAAAAAAAAAAGACAAAAAAGAGGAAAATTGTCACAGCCCGTCCTGGGATTTTATTTCTCGAAGATGTGAAGTGACAAAATTACCCTTGACAGGTGCTAAGGTGTGTGTGTGTGTGACATATTATTTGGACTAATATACATATTCCATAAACTTTGGAGAATTATTTAAGTTGGTATGCATGTTTTGTGTGGTTAGGGATGAAGTGATCTGTTTTTGAGGGACCACACACACACATGGGTTACACACACTGGACCCCCTTCCTTTTTTTTCCCCGTGCTCTCTCTTCTCTCTCCCTCTCGACTTGTACGGACCAAGATAAAAAACCCTCCAACCTTTACGGATCGACGTCAAAAAGGAATTTTGAGCTTATAGTGAGCTTAGTGAGGTTCTAAGGAAGCTCGGAGTGCTTGGTTTGAAGGTTTTGGACGTCGGGATCACCGAGTTCAAAGTTGGCCGATTTTTCTTGGAATTTTTCTGGTGACACCTATCCCGAGGACGAGCGCATCCAGGGACGTCACGGGGGTTACGACCCATCGACTTACTAGTGAGTGGGCAGTTTTGTTTTCTTATATACCTATATACTATTAATTTTCCCAGAAATTGAATTTATATGAAAGTATGTTTTCAATTGCCATGCATGCATATTATAAATTATATGAATTGATGTTGATGCATATATATATGTGAATTGGTGCTGTGGACGCACATGTGAGTTTTATGTTAATCATGTGAATCATCGATGATGTGAATTGTGTTAAGAGCTCATAACCTGCACCCTTGGTGTTAGTGCTTATATTATTCACCGCACCGCACGCTCACCTTGGATCCAAGTAGGTGCATGTCGTACAGACCATGAGAGGGTTCCGACATGCTAGTCGTACAGACTACTAGAGGTGGTTCCGACTAGTAGGTGACCTTAGAGTACGCGCGCAGATGATTGATGAGAGAAGCACTGGAGCGTATTATTTCACCATTCTTGTCGTACAGACTACTATAGGTAGTTCTGACTTATGTGCAGTGTAGTGCCGTACAGTTGGTGACTCCGACAGGGCCGTACATGTCACAGTTGGTGACTCCGGCTGGATGGGATATTGAGCTATAGAATCAGCCGTACAGGACCATTGTAGGGTCTCCAGTTGATTTATTATTTCACCTGATTTATATTGATGCATTCATATTATATTTTGGCATGGCATGGCATATTCTTTCTGAAAAGCGTTGAAGGATTATGAGTTGAGCTTTTGATGATATATATATGTTTATATACTATTTTTTTGGGAAAGTATACAGGTTTTACAGTGAGGGGTTAGAAACATTTTAAATGAAATGTTTTGGAAAACTTTGGTCTTACTGACCCACTCAATTTTGTATTTGCACCCCTCCAGGTTCTAGTTAGCAGTTGGTGGCCCACGAGGCTCTCTTCGACGTTCTGACAGACATCCTGCATGTAGGACTTACCTGAGGGTGTTGTAATTTAATTATAGTCCTACTTGACTGCACCTAGTATCTACGCTCTGAATTTGTGTGTTTTACTATATAACTCGCTCTAGCATGCTAGTTGGATAATACTGCTAGTAGTTGGTTTTTATTCCTTCGTATTTCTTATATCATTTGCTTCCGTATCGCACTTTTGGTTACGTCACACTCATGTGACGGCCAGCACACCTTGATTCTAGGATCGGGGTGTGTCAAAAGTAATCAATCTTTTCAAATAGAATCAGAGTTAAGTTTTTGTACCGATATGAACGTTTTCAGGAATCGTGGAAAGAAAGCTGAGGTATGGATGAATTGGTGGTTGTTCTTCCTCCCCAACTATTCCATAACTCCCAGAAGAGAAATTTTCATACAACATTTTTCCAGCAGCTGCAAAATTTTTTTTTTTAATTTAAAAACAAAATCCAAAAACAGAGCAAACAGGTTGGGTCACTCTCGAGTTTGGGTGCGAGCTTATCCCTAACCTTCTCACCAGAAAAGAAGAATATGCAAAAACTAATTAGAGATTTCAGAAAATACACTACCTGATTACCTGCTATTGGAAACAAATAATAAATATACAGGGAATTTTAAAATAATTCAACTGCAGGCAATTTAATTGAAATTTTTAAAGAAAAAAAAGAACTCAAAATCTTAGTAAAATTAAGAGCAAAAATTATTAACCACACAATGAAATTTAATAAAAATAAATTACTTAAATTAAAACCCAAATTCCAGAAATGAAGAAATATGGAAACTTAATATGGAAACTGAAGCTTTACCTACAGATCGACAACAGCAGCAGGTACCTCAATAATGAAAGAGACAGAGCTGGAGATGCATGAGAGAAGAGGGGAGGAGTGTCTGGCGATCCATAACTTTGTGTAAACCTTGAAGACCTCGTAGAAATACGCCCGGTACTCGTACCTGAACAAAATTAAAAATTTGAAATTAAGAAATAATTGTTTGGAAATTAGGGTTTAGGATGAGAAATGGGGAGAATTTGAAGAATCTGCAATATTGGAGCTCTCTGATTTTAAAGAATCAATGGGGAGCTCTCCCCGACTGCAGAATTAGATTTTCACCCTCAAATATGGTGTAATTTGAGACCAGTAGAATCACTTCAACGGAGATTTGAAAGCGGAAAAGAGCGATAGAAGCAGATTTCGTGACTGAGATCGCAGCGTCGAAGAGCAAGAGAAGGCGGTGTTCGAGAGCGAGAGAAAGTGAGAGAGACAGAAGCAGTGATTTGTGAGAAAGAAAAGCGGAAACGGAAGGAAAAAGTCGAGAAGAAAAGTCGAAGCACAGCGATGATCGACGCGTGAATCGAATGGGCAAAACAGACTTTTCATTGCACCAAAAGAGGAAACATCAATGAAACAGAGGAAAAACAAAGGGCATTTCCAACATTTCACTGTTCACGAACAGTGAAAAACAGTGCCGGCCGAACTGAGTTTTAATATATAGATAATTTTACTAAATTGTGATGAATAATTAATTTTGGATTAATCTCAATTTACTACCTTTAAGTTTCTTGGTTCAACATTTGGTACATAAAGTTTTTTTCATCCTAGAGTGATACCTGAAGTCAAAATTTTCGCACAGTTTCATACATCCTTTAAGGTTGCTGTTAAGTAAGCCATTAACTGGTGACGTGACGCCCATGTAGACAATTACTGGACGCCACATGTCAATATGGGCCCACGTGTATATTAAAAAAATTAAAAATTAAAAGAATTAAAAATCTGGGTCCAAATTGTTGTCTTCATCTTAAAGGAAGAGTTTGATCTCCTCCCTTCCCTCATCCATGTCCCACACACATCCATCTTCTCCGAAGTACCCACCTTGTCACCTCTATCTTCTCCGGCCAACTATATCCCAACCACACCCACTTCTCCTCTCGACAATCCACTCCCAAATTCCCCAAACCGCCATTTTCACCCACGTATCACACCCAGAACCCACACAGAAATCAAACACTTTATTTTCACCCACCACACCCAAAATTTGTCTCTCCACTCCTCCAAAGACACTACCGCTGACCCAGTATCGCAGCGCTCAATCGAAGAGGAAATTGAAACATGTCCACCCTCACATCAAGATCTCTAGCAAGGCCATGAGAATCATGAACATCTTGATCAACGACATATTCGACAAGCTCGCCCAAGATTCGTTGAGGCTCGCGAGGTACAACAAGAAGCCGACGATCACTTGCCAGGAAATCCAGACTGCCGTGAAGCTCATGCTTCCCAGTAAGCTCGCCAAGCACGCCGTTTTGGAAAGGACCAAAGTCATGACTAAGTTTACTAGCTCTTGAAGGTTTAGGGTTTGTTGGTTTTAAGGTCTGGTATTTGAAATCAAGTCATATAGGTTTGTTGGTTAACAGACTCAATTATCCCGCTTGAAGTGTTCGTCGACCGCTGATAACCTCATGCTGTCTTTGCACACCGCCCTCGCAGAGGAGATTCTGGGCGAGAGTTGCAAGAACTTGATATAGTGTTGGAGAGAAGTGAGATGACGGGTTTTGGGTAGGTCTGGAAAAAGGAATTGGGGGTTGGGAGAGTTTTGGGACGGGGGAGGAGCGAGAGAGACCATAGGGAGGAATTGAAGGTCGGGGTTGGGAAATCAGATCCAATATGCGAAACAATCTTAGGGTTTTAGTTTTTCTTAATTTTTTATTTTATAAATTTTTAACTTTTAACAGTTAGGTTTTTTTTAATTTTCAATTTCATTTTTAAATTTTTTTTAATATCCACGTGGCACCCAGTCATTATGTGACATCCCACATTGACCAATGGGGATGGGGTGATGTGCCTTATATGTACATGCCCACCTCCATATAGCACGAGGCATTTTGGGAACTCATTGGCTTTGGGTTCCACCGGAACTCCAAAATTAAGTGAGTTCAGGCGAGAGCAATCCTAGGATGGGTGACCCACCGGAAAGTTGCTCGTGAGTTCCTAGAAACAAAACCGTGAGGGCGTGGTCGGGGCTCAAAGCGGACAATATTGTGCTACGACGGAGTTGAGACTAAGATGTGACATAATGGTATCAGAGCCACTCTGCCGTGTGGTGCGAGTGTGCCAAAGAGGACGTCGGGCCCTTAATGGGAGTGAATTGTGACATCCCACATCAACCAACGGAGAGGGGATGATGTGCCTTATACATACATACCCACCTCCATATAGCACGAGGCCTTTTGGGAACTCACTGGCTTCGGGTTTCATCGAAACTCTGAAGTTAAGCGAGTTCGGGCAAGAGCAATCCTAGGATGGGTGACCCACTGGGAAGTTGCTCGTGAGTTCCTAGAAACAAAATCGTTAGGGCGTGGTCAGGGCCAAAAGTGGACAATATCGTGTTACAGCGGAGGTGAGATTGGGATGTGACACATTGTTCACGTGAGTACCACGTCACCAGTTAACGGTTGACTTAACAGCAACCTTAACGAATGTATGTCTCAAAATTTTGACTTCAAGTACCACTCTGGGATAAAAAAGCTTGATGTACCAAATATTGAAAATAAAAAAACTTGAGGGCAATAAACTAAGATTAACACATTATCATATATTAAATGTATTTGTTGACCCTAAAAACTACCAAGCCTACATGGCGCGCAGACCGAGTAATTAGTAAGCTAACTACGTCATTTGGTTGTATGCGGGGCGTGCCAACTCGTCGGCCAAGCTCGGTCGAGGAGTAAAATTTGTTGATGTTGCATTGGGTGCGCAGCTGACTTCTCGATCTTGCGATTGCGGTCGAGGAAGGAACACGCCCCGGCTTTCAGGTTCTAGAGCTTGAAGATAAAGCTACTAGTTATGTGAAGTTCACAAATCGTCGGCACCAGATTCGGTCACTATGATTATATTCGTAAGAGTATAAGCACACCGAATCGACACCAGAGTATAGGGACACAAATATTCAAAACGAATATACGTCTTGATTGTGAAAGTGGTTCGACTGTCAGAATGCCGAACTCTAAATCCTACTTGCGAATAACCAATCATAAATGACTCAGCGTTCAATGTGCCGAGTATAAGAACTTGTAACACTTCGCTTCGCCAAGAAGGCTAACGAGATGACCTCTGCCGATAAGGATTCGAAAATCCTTCTCGACCGAGACTTGGATAGATAACCGGTCGACCCTGTCGCAGTGCTGTTTATCCAAACTGAAGATGCTCCACGGTCGGCTGATTCTACGGCAACAGTGCTGTTTATCCAAACTGAAGATGTTCGCCGGTTGCCTGCACAGTGCTGTTTATCCAAACTGAAGGTGCGTCGATGAAAAAAGGAAAACAAAAATCTCAAGGTTGTTGAGAGGTTTCGTGTAGAGCGAGAGAATACGTAGGGCAATTTGTGTGTTGAATTGGAGGGGGTTGTTTCGATGTCTTCCTTCCCTATTTATAGTAGTCAACCTGTATTGAATCTCAATCACTGCCGGATTAGAACTCCTTCTCATGATCCAACCTTATCTCGGCCAATCCTATTCTTACTAGGACTTTGAACATAACTCGTTATCATACCGTATTCAATCTCAGCATCCTAACCCCGTCGAAACTCCTTCTCATAACAGGATTCGTCCACATTCCCAATTTCTGATAGGATATGGCCAACTTCGACCGCGCGGCCCATAGGCTGAATATCTCCCAATGACACCTGTACACGACCACTGGGCTGAAAAAGATATAACTCTTCCCAAAACAATATTTTTGGGCCCAAACATTGCCCCCTCGCTTCTGAGGTCGTCGACCTATACTCCTTAGTTCGAGCCTCGACCTTGAAGAAGTGAAATCGACTCTCGGAAACTGCCACCATGCATACTTATGAGACGTAATCCCATGATCTCGATTTCTAAATCGTCCTGCCACGTGTCAACCCCCTGGTTACCCTAGCAGCCTTTAATCATGATCCTCGAAAACATGCGATTGCCGAAACGTTTCTCTTGCATTAAAATCGTCGTAACACGCCATCATGCTTCCTCAATCCGCGAAAACCTCAATCATCTCGCCTTGATTTTCTGAACCTGTACAATGATTAGTATCTCTCCCGCTTGATTTTACCCTTGATTTTGAAAATCAACTGTTTAGCCTTCTGTCTATAAATACCTGGATCTCTTCCATTCGTACCTTACGCTCTCTCAAACCTTTGAAATTTTCTTGCCGTTCAGTTTTTTTAAAACCTTAAAAAACCAGGGATTTTGAAACTTTCATCTCAGAAATTTCTAACCTTTCCTCAATGGCCTCTTTTGTCTCAAAACTCTCTTCTGAGTCCAACAAGTGCAAGGATTTCATCGATGAGCACGCTATCAAGACTCTGCGTTTCGAGGGTGAGTCAAACACTACTCACCAAGTTATGGGCCTACTCTTCATGGATACGGTGCCGTCATCCATCACCA